TCATTACAAATATTTTATACACATTTTAAGTAATATTAATTTTTTTTTCTCACATATATCCTTATTTGATAATTAATATTCTTAATTTATAATTATAATTACTTTTTTTCTATACATATTATAAGATATTAAATAAGAGTACTTTATATTTAATATACTAACATTAAATATTTTTTAAAGAGTTATTAAAAAAGTTTATTCATTAAAATTTTTTAAAAATTCCTTTTTCAAAAAATAGCTCCTAAAAACGGGGCTTTCGCGTTATTAATTAACACATAAAGATTTTAACATTAGACATGGATTATTATTAGGGAATTTTTTTTATATTTTTATTTTTACTTTTGAAATATAGAAAAAAATGAAAAGATCGTGGTGGAACGATGCGTTTAAGGATATAAACTTTAGAAGAATCAAGAAGTTGAGATGCGGTTAATATTGTGTGAGTTGTTTATTTCTTTCGCTATCGTTATCGTCTTCTTCGTTGCTCCGTCCAACATCCTCTTAGGGTTTGCACTGATTCACTCTGCTTTCAGCGCCGCTCATACATACCAGCTCCCCTTCACTTCCTCACAACATTTCTTCATCAAGGTACCTCACAATTCCTCATTCATTTCCTTCTATCGATTCGTTTCTACTTTTCTCTTTTATAAGAAGAAGCAAAACTTGTTCATGCCATCGATAATGCTTCTCCCACATTGAATTCAATTACGCGAATTCATTCGTGGAGGAATTGGCGCATGTTCTTCTTCTTTTTAGCTTTTATTCAATTAATTAATTAATTGGTGGTGAAATTTAATTCCATCGGTGCTCTAGGGCTGGGTTGCACTGCGTAATTGTTGGATTGAACACTCGGGGATTAGATTTTGTTTTATGTTGAACGATACTGTTGTAGTGGTTGCTATGAGATTAGGTATCTGTTGTTTATTTGTTAGGTGACTTGTTTGAGTGGCTCAGGGTGATGGGCTGGTAACATGCTATGAACGTTTTCAGTTTCAGGTGTTTGTTTAATTTATGGTTAATGATACTGGTTTGGAATGTCCAACAATCTGGTCTCAGAGCCAATACCGAGCATGCAGATGGCTCAGTTGGAGCCCCTTATGAACAAGGTTGATTCGTCAGGGAGACAGATGGAAATGGGGCTCTTGGGTCCTGTATCCAGTGATATTGTGTCACAGCCGCAGGCGACCTCGAATGAACATGTTGGACTATCGAGAGCTCTGCCTGGTGAACCTAGGTCCCAGGGCTTACCCCTTTCGAGCATGCAGAGTGGGCAAGTAGAAGCACAAGCAAGTAATCCGGGAATGCATCAAGTTCTTCCCCCCAATAAACAATCCATGCACATGGGGATGTTTCCGAATAGCTCAGGGCCGCAGCAGCAGCAGCTGACAGCTACTAAGCGCAAGGCACCGATAGAACTATCGTCCAATAGCTCCATGATGTTTAATAAGCGGGTTGCACAAATGGGAAATAGACCTTGGTTGCAGCAAGTACCTAATGCATCAAATAAAGGTTCTCCGCAGATTCAATCCCCATCAAATGCCTCCAGGGCACAGCATTCAGCAGCTTCTAATAAGAGAAAAACACAGATGGATAACACTTCCAGTAAATCTGGGACTCCTCGGTCCATGAATTCTAAAAGTCAGAATACGCAGATGAAACAATCCTCCAAGGTTCAAACTGAATCATCTGAAAGTGTTCGGTCCAAGATGAGAGAGTCTTTAGCTGCTGCTCTGGCCTTGGTTTCCAAGCAAGGTAAACCTCAAATTCCAAACAATAATACACCAAATGATGCTGCCAATACTCAGGGTAAATCAGGGAACAGCTCTCAATGTGCTGGATCAGTACCTGCATCTATGGATACTTCACTGGAGCAAAGGCAGGACATTTCTCAATCAGTTAATTCCTCTTTTGCTGAGGCTGATTCTGTTGGCTACGTGGTAGGAGAGCACAGTCAGAGTTCAACATTTAACGAACATTTTTCAGAAAAACATAAGGACTATGAAGCAGGAACCACAAATGCATCAAACAATGAAAACATTCTGAGTTCTATGCAAGATTTTCAGTCAAGTTACACTTTGACTACTGATGATGTTCCTTTCAGTGACAGTTTCTTTATGAAAGATGATCTTTTGCAGGGAAATGGTCTTTCCTGGGTATTATCTGATATGGTGGACATGGGAAATCAAAGGGAAAGTCAAACTAATGTAGAGCAGAGATCAGAACCTAACGAAACAGGTGGAGCTTGTAGGGAGGAGCCCCCTTTGCCTGAAATTTTAGCTTCACGAATTGAAGAAGAACTCTTTAAACTGTTTGGAGGTGTGAATAAGAAGTACAAAGAGAAAGGGAGGTCTCTTTTATTCAATTTAAAAGATCGCAATAATCCTGAACTTAGAGAAAGGGTTATGTTTGGTGAAATTCCTCCAGAACAATTATGTTCCATGACTGCAGAGGAACTTGCTTCAAAGGAGCTCTCTCAGTGGCGAATAGCCAAAGCGGAGGAGTTTGCTCAAATGGTGGTTTTACCTGATTCAGATGTTGATATTAGACGTTTGGTCAGGAAGACACACAAAGGTGAATTTCAAGTGGAAGTTGAACATGAAGACAATGTCTCAATAGAGGAGGTTTCAGCTGCTCGAAGCCAAACAATAAAAAATGATGTGGAAGGCACTTCTCCTTCCAAAACTGATGTGAACACTGATGCTGAGAAGGGCAATTTACAGAAGGATAATACATTTTCCATTACCATTTCTTCCAACGATGGGACTGATCCCATGCAAGGGCTAATGACAGATGATGCATTGAAGGACCCTGACTTTCTTCCACCAATTGTCTCTCTTGATGAATTTATGGAATCTCTTCATTCGGAGCCACCATTTGAAAATTTACCGGTAGAATCTGGGAAAGTGACACCTACCTCAGATAAGGTTGATTCTGGGATTGGATCTAAATCAAAATCTTCCGATTTAACTCCAAATGAGCAAGCGGATGTTACTCCTGATAATCCTGAGAAGTTTCAAAGCCCACGTGTAAATTCAGATGCTGAAGAAGATAAAAAGTTTAATGCTGAACCTGGGGCCATTTCTTCTGATACGAGATACAGTGAGAGTCAGGCTGACAGGAAGTCAACTGATGGTCGTAACAAGGAAAGGACAAGTGATGATGTGAAGTCTGCTTCCAGCGATGCTGAGTTGAGAGGCAATCAGTTTCATGCAGAAGAGAGATATGGTAATAATAATAGGCATTTGAAGGTTGCAGTCCCTGCTAAGGGTGAATGCCTCTGGGAGGGAATGCTTCAACCGAATATCTCCACCACTCAATCAGTCATAAGCATCTTTAAGAGGTAGTGTACTAATTGTTTGAGTTCATCTTTATGATAAGTTGCTACTTAGCTGTGAACTTCTGTGCATGGATTAATATGGTTTATGACTGTTCCATTTCTCCAATTTTTTTTTTATCTATAATATGTTATGGTGAGAATCATGAAGTGGATAGTGTCAAATTCTTTCATGTAGCATCTGAAGTAAATATTCTTAGAATGTGTAGTGAAGAGGTGAAAGATTGGTATTGAGGTCATTTGTGATTGTTTTTAAAAGGAAAGTTATTTTTTAATTAAAAGCTTTTTTAATAAAATTTAGAATAATTTTTTTATGAATAAAGCAAAAATCTAAAAAAGTTGTATTGGTGCTTTTCTCAGAAGTTAATGTTAATATCTTCTGCTATTTTTAGTTGTATCATTAAATTACTTTTTGTAAGCTTAAACAAAGGCCAAATATTATGGAAAAGATGTTAATCTGCCCTTATATGATGATGGCTGTAATGGGGAGCAGCACAATTTTGTGAGTTTTAACTTCGGATGTGATTATTTGACCAAGCATGCCACTTCCTCTGTCATGTATATCCTGCTTCTCAATTGATATTGGAATTTGAAACTATCTATGCCTTCCTCATTTGTTCTTGTTTCCACTGATTTCAATTTTGCTTAGCATTGACTTATTATGATTTTGTTTAAGCATGCATGTAATCTTGCATTAAGTATTTTGTACCTTAATATAATGTGGTCTGTTGTATTCACTTGATCAAAACTTTACTTTCAAATTGAACTTGAGGTCACTTGTGCTGTATAATTTAGTCATGTGTATATTTATGAAAACAAGTCTTGTGATTTCTCAAGTCTGGAATCTCAGTTGTAATTGCTCCTCTGTTATAAGTACTATGATTTTTACTTCATGTACTGCTGCATTCTGTGTTATGATAAAAGTAAGTTGCATTTTTGTTTGTTGTTTTTTTGTTAATGTGATTTTGAAATGACAATTGCTGTCTGTGGATGTGGTTTTGGTCAGGTTGTTAAGCATTTGTCTAGTATATAGTATATATATTAGTTTCTTTTATGTAACTAGTTTCAGTTATTTTTTTAACCATTCACTTCTAGAAAATTATGGTATTGTTATTGCTGCCAACTCCTTTCCTAATTGTTGCTATGGTAAGTAGACATGTTAATTTTGGAGTAAATATTGCTATTCTGTTTTTGGTGGATTTTGATTCTATACAAACAGTTTGAAAACATGCTTAAATATTTCTTTCTGATTGTCTTGGAGGGGTCTTTGCAGTTTGGTTTTTCCGTAAATAGCATCCAATTTGATCCTGAATATGAATTGCCATTTTGTTTAAGTCAGCTTCAATACAATATTAAATCCGACCCAACCAATCCAATTAAAAGTGGTTTATATTGGATTGGATTGAATGATTCTATTTTTAATCTTTGTTGTTAAACTTAAACATGTGGTTAATATTTTAAACAAATCTAAAAGTACACTAATCATTATAAAAATTAATTCAAGTATCAACCATCACATCGGAATTTAGTCAAAAAGCTGTATGTTTTTGTTAAAAAAGCAAATATCAAAATAAAACTAAAACACATCCTAATAAGAAGTAATTGGGATAATTAAATTATGAAAAAAAAATAATTGAAATAGTAATTTCATAAATGGTTTTTGGATTAATCATTTTTGGTTTGGTTTTGGCTTGTATTAGTTCTGTTTATTGACACCCCTCATGATCACTCTGAACAATATTATCTTTAGAGCTGGATGGGTTTGGTTGCCATTATTTTTATTGTAAAATGTAGTTTTAACTTATGATATGTACTGCTCAGATAATTAGTACTTCTTTTCAGTGTTTTTTTCTGATTTTACATTATGTTCTTTTTAAAGTGGTGAGAAAACTGCTGCTAAAGACTGGCCTGGGTTTCTTGAGATCAAGGGAAGGGTTCGACTTGATGCATTTGAGAAATTTCTGCAAGACCTTCGACAGTCCAGAAGTCGTGCAATCATGGTATCTCAAGTTTCCTTTTGTTGTCCTATAGCTAGATTCAAATCTTGTCTGTTAATTCTCACGATCCATACAGAAAACAATGATTAATAAAGGGGGAAATGTTGCAGTTTGATGTTATTTCATTCTCTTACCACATATTTAAAGTAAGTTACACAATTTGTTTGCTTCTTTTCCCTTTCTGATAAGATAAAAGGAGGCAGTGAAGTGGTTGGGGGTTGTGCATGAGAAATGGTGCATAGTTTTTAAGACTGTCAGGATGAGATTAAGATCCTCTGGTTACTTCTCAAACTAAATTCATCTTAGCCCTTGAAATAATATATTTGTTTTATAATAAATTATAAATAAATGTGTGCCGTTAGTGAGATCCGCTGGAACTAAACTGCACAAGGTGCAGCTCATTTTGAATCCCAGAGGGTCCGTATCTGACAGGATGAGGTATTTTTTGCTGTGACAAGTTATGAAACATGAAAATGTATTATTATGGTGATAGAAATTGAATGTTTGGATTGTGTAACTTGTAAAAATTTGTCGCCGTTTAGAATATATTACGAGATTGAGTTGATTTTGGTAAAAATATATCATTATATCGGTGACTAAGTTTCCCATCCTTTGGGCGATTGTCTCCATGCTACAAAAATTTCAATATATATAATATTTCAACACAATGAAAAAGGGGGGGGGGGGG